CCTGGTGCATGTAGGTAGATTTCTTTTCAGCCTGGTGTATGTAGGTAGATTTCCTTTCAGCCTGGTGTATGTAGGTAGATTTCCTTTTAGCTTGGTGTATGTAGGTAGATTTCCTTCCAGCTTGTCGTATGGAGGAGGTTCCTTTCAACCTGGTGTATGTATGTAGATTTTTTCAGCCTGGTGTATATAGGTTGATTTCCTTTCAACCTGGTGTATGTAGGTAGATTTCATTCCAACTTGGTGTATATAGATAGGTTTCCTTTCAGATTGGTGTATGTAGATAGGTTTTTTTAGCGTGGTGTATGTAGGTAGATTTCTCTTCAGACTGGTGTATGTAGGTAGGTTCCTTTTCAACCTGGTGTATGTAGGTTGATTTTTTCAGCCTGGTGTGTATGTAGGAAGATTTCGTTTCAACTTGGTGCATGTAGGTAGAGTTCCTTTCAGCCTGGTGTATGTAGGTAGATTTTTTTCAGCCCGGTGTATGTAGGTAGATTTCCTTTCAGCCTGGTGTATTTAGGTAGATTTCCTTTCAGCTTGGTGTATGTAGGTAGATTTCTTTTCAGCCTGGTGTATGGAGGGAGGTTCCCTTCCAACTTGGTGTATGTAGGTAGATTTCCTTTCAGCCTGGTTCATGTAGGTAGATTTCTTTTCAGCCTGGTGTATGTAGGTAGATTTCCTTTCAGCCTGGTGTATGTAGGTAGATTTCCTTTTAGCTTGGTGTATGTAGGTAGATTTCCTTCCAGCCTGTCGTATGGAGGGAGTTTCCCTTTCAACTTGGTGTATGTAGGTAGATTTCTTTTCAGCCTGGTATATATAGGTTGATTTCCTTTCAACCTGGTGTATGTAGCTAGATTTCATTTCAACTTGGTGTATGTAGATAGGTTTCCTTTCAGCTTGGTGTATGTAGGTAGATTTCTTTTCAACCTGGTGTATGTAGGTAGGTTTCTTTTCAACCTGGTGTGTGTAGGTAGATTTCCATTCAGCCTGGTACATGAAGGTAGATTTCCTTTCAGCCTGGTGTATGTAGATAAGTTTCTTTTCAACCTGGTGTATGTAGGTAGATTTCCATTCAGCCTGGTACATGAAGGTAGATTTCCTTTCAGCCTGGTGTATGTAGGTAGATTTCTTTTCAGCCTGATGCATGTAGGAAGATTTCCTTTCAACTTGGTGAATGTACGTAGATTTCTTTTCAGTCTTGTGTAAGTAGATAGGTTTCATTTCAGATTGGTGTATGTAGGTAGATTTCTTTTCAGCCTGATGTATGTAGGAAGAGTTCCTTTCAACTTGGTTAATGTAGGTAGATTTCTTTTCAGCCTGGTGAATATAGATAGGTTTCCTTTCTGTTTGGTGTATGTAGGTAGATTTCTTTTCAGCCTGGTGCATGAAGGTAGATTTCCTTTCAGCCTGGTGTATGTAGGTAGATTTCTTTTCAGCCTGGTGTATGTAGGTAGGTTCCTTTTCAACCTGGTGTATGTAGGTAGATTTCATTTCAACCTGGTGTATGTAGGTAGATTTCCTTACAGTCTGGTGAAGGTAGGTAGATTTCTTTTCAGCCTGGTGCATGAAGGTAGATTCCCTTTCAGCTTGGTGTATGTAGGTAGATTTCTTTTCAGTCTGCTGTATGTAGGTAGGTTTCTTTTCAACCTGGTGTATGTAGGTTGATTTTCTTTCAACCTGGTGTATGTAGTTAGATTTTATTTTAACTTGCTGTATGTAGATTAGTTTCGTTTCAGCCTGGTGTATGTAGTTAGGTTTCATTTCAGCCTAGTGTATGTGATTAGATTTCTTTTCAGCCTGGTTTTTGAAGGTAGATGTCTTTTCAACCTGTTGCATGTAGGTAGGTTCCTTATCAACCTGTTGTATGTAGGTACATTTCATTTCAGCCTGGTGTATGGAGGAAGGTTCCCCTTCAACTTGGTGTATGTAGGTAGATTTCCTTTCAGCCTGGTGTATGTAGGTAGATTTCCTTTCGGCCTGGTGCATGTAGGTAGATTTCTTTTCAGCCTGGTGTATGTAGGTAGATGTCTTTTCAGATTGATGTATATAGATAGATTTCTTTTCAGCCTGGTGCATGAAGGTAGATTCCCTTTCAGCTTGGTGTATGTAGGTAGATTTCTTTTCAGTCTGCTGTATGTAGGTAGGTTTCTTTTCAACCTGGTGTATGTAGGTTGATTTTCTTTCAACCTGGTGTATGTAGTTAGATTTTATTTTAACTTGCTGTATGTAGATTAGTTTCTGTTTCAGCCTGGTGTATGTAGTTAGGTTTCATTTCATAGTGTATGTGATTAGATTTCTTTTCAGCCTGGTTTTTGAAGGTAGATGTCTTTTCAACCTGTTGCATGTAGGTAGGTTCTTATCAACCTGTTGTATGTAGGTACATTTCATTTCAGCCTGGTGTATGGAGGAAGGTTCCCTTCAACTTGGTGTATGTAGGTAGATTTCCTTTTTCAGCCTGGTGTATGTAGGTAGATTTCTTTCGGCCTGGTGCATGTAGGTAGATTAGATTTTCAGCCTGGTGTATGTAGGTAGATGTCTTTTTCAGATTGATGTATATAGATAGATTTCTTTTCAGCCTGGTGCATGAAGGCAGATTTCCTTTCAGCTTGGTGTATGTAGGTAGATTTCCTCTTAACCTGGTGTATGTAGGAATATTTCCTATCAACTTTTTGAATGTAGGTAGATTTCCTTTCAGCCTGGTGCATGTAGGTAGGTTTCTTTTCAGCCTGATGTATGTAGGAAGATTTCTTTTCTGCCTGATGTATGTAGGAAAATTTCCTTTCAACTTGGTGTATGAAGGTAGATTTCTTTTCTGCCTGGTGTATGTAGATAGGTTTCCTTTCTGCTTGGTGTATGCAGGTAGATTTCTTTTCACCCTGGTGCATGAAGTTAGATTTCTTTTCAACCTGGTGTATGTAGGTAGATTTCCTTTCAACCTGGTGGATGTAAGTAGGTTTCTTTTCAAATATTATTATATTATATTCGACTCCTTGGAAAATGTGAGGACATGTCGTTTGCTACCTATTGAGGTGGTGTGCCCTGGACCCCCTTGGCCTGTCAATCGTTTTCTTCTTTTTGAAATTGGGCATCACTTGCTGGTGCCTGAAGAGATCTTCACGGCGTTTCTAGAGCACATCTCTGCAGCCATTGAGTTGACCAAATTAAACAAAGTTAATTAAATCCATGCTCACAACACAATGCTACTTCTGACGTGAAACACCTCTGTTTACCTTCCATTCTGTATAATTGATAACGGCCGCTACGCGCGCATTTTGTTTTATTTAATGATCAAAAGCAAACGCTTTTAACACAGCGTTGAAAATTTGATTTGCCGTTGCATAAAAATCGCAGAGACTGACATGTGTACACAATAACGGTACTTTGTCCGATGGCAAAATCTGCTGGTATCGCCAGGTGTGGCAGTACCACCTTAGCTATCGAAACCGTGTTACCTCCCTTGGTTGGCGTCTGACAAGAGCAGGATATTGCACGTGCTTTCACACGTTGTATGTAGAAAAAAATATTAATATCAATGTACTGCTAATGATTTCACAATAGAAATTCATTGAAAATTCAGGAACAAATGGATTATCAATGGTCAGAAATTGTAAGCATTACATGACAGAATAGGTCTCTATCGTTTCACGAATTATTTCGCCAATATCTGTCTATATTTCTGGGATGAGGTATTATGTACACTATTTACATTATTCGGACTATTGTCTTCAACTTTGTCGCCATATTTATTACAACGTTTCGGCCCTTGTACGCTCCAGCCTTCTTCAACGTTGTAACAAATATGGCGACAAAGATAAGGACAATAGTCCAAATAATGTAAATAGTGTTATTTCGCCAAGTATTTATATTTTCCTTACACGCCAATTTAGTTTTCGTCATTTCACAATAATTTCCGATTATTTTTCATTACCTGATTTAGTTTATATTTATTGGCTGTCTTTAATTTTCTTTCTTTCGATTGATACCTTCTCCGGTTATATTTGTGTTGTCGGAGTTTCTGAAATTAATTCTTCTTGTTATTATTCTTATTATTCTATGAAAGACATGAACTGTTATCATTATCTTGGTTGTTTTGTGTTATGGTGAGATATGTAATCACCACCGGAACATTTTAAATAAGGGACCGTGTCACCGGATATATTAGAACAAAGACACTTCCTGGACTGAACACAATCAACACTACACATTGTCTCTCTGTAAATACGTTAATAAACTTCCTTTCTTTATTTAAACCTACAGTACATATTTATTCCTTTATTTCCTTCACGGAATACTATCTCTTGATTATCTCTTGATGATCTCTTGATTATCCCTATTATTGCCACCCATGGATATATCATTTTGTTCATTGCTTTTCGATTTTTGTCCATTGTTTTATTTAATTTACTGTACAGGCACAAATACTTTTTGACAAGTGTCGAATAATAGCTAATTAATTTCCTAAATATTTTTTTATATTTATTTGTAGGGAATTTAATCGAAAATCGATATTGGCGATTGGTAAATATGTTGATCATACTGTTTTATATACGAAGTATATCTTGTTTCTAACTCGAGTACCAGGCATTATAACCTCGAAAGAGTAGTTTAGTTCGGTCACATGTATAGGGAAGTGAGTAAGGATCGAACTCTCTACTCGTATTTTATCCTCATTATCAGAGTGTTATCCATTACTTAACGGCGAGGTGCGTAAGATGCAAACACAAAAATAAAATAAAAAAACAATAAATTATCTATTGTTATTTTGAAGCGTAAGTTTGGCACAAGGTCAAAAGTGTGGAATGACTTCGAAATTAAGAACATTTCTTGTATACGTAAAGAATACCAAACTGCGTGAATGTGTGTGCGTGGGGTGGTGGTGGCGATTTTTGAAAATGGGACTAAATTTGAATTTTGCTAATTTTGGGGTCATTCTTTAAAATATTGAAAGTTTGAAACAACTTTTAAATGATTAAATCTTTCGTATGAATTTCTCTTATTATTAGGTCAAGGCAATCCGGGTGATGTTAATGTTACTCCTGGTCCAGAAGGGTCAACCAAAAGTCCAAAAAAGAAGAGATCTGCTGAGGACAGTTTAAAATCGTTCGCCGGGGTCGGCCTTGTGCGGGCAGCGCCATCTATGAACGGCAGGAGATTGGCCCGGCGTTCAGTTCTCGGCAAAACAAAGGACTATCATCATGCGAATCTACCAGTGGCGGATGATGTCTACGCAGGTAACCGCAGGTTCCGACCTGTGAAGACTGAATGCAACGAAGAGAAACTCTTCTCAAAGACTGGAATCATCATTGTTATTGTCCTCGTGTGTTCCACATTCCTTCTGCTCTACATGGTGATTTTATTAATGGCAGTTCCTCGTATTTGCTTTCCTTATTACCCGAAAAAGAAGAGAGAGCAATACAACAGAAACGCTGAGTCCGGCCAAAACAAAGATAGGACTTCGACTAAAGTAGACATCCCTCTTAGCCGTAAAGTTCGGCACAATGGACGAAGCGATAGCGGTATTGAGTCGGTGGACGGTCTGGAAGAAAAGGGTTCGCACCATGGAGGAGAGAGGACCGAAAGCCACTGGGAAATTGCTCCTGATAAACTGGAAGAGTTTTATCGCAGGACAACCAACCAAAAGACAGGGTCGGATGAGGAGGACATGCTATCCGGTCTGAAGATATACAATTTTGAAAAAAATATGCCGTAAGTATTTGCGACGATTGACAATACAAACTTGTCTTAAAAGACACAAAAAGCATTCGAAATTTAATAACTAATTATAGTCATTACAAAACACATTAATTTGTTAAACTTAAAAATTTTATCCATTCTCTAAATTTTATTTAAAAAAATAAATAAGAATGATTGATACTGTTGGCCCGTATCACAAAAGGGTGAATGAGGTCACAAGAGGCCCGCTAACATTTTTTGAAGACGTTAAATCTGAGGGGGAAATAATATAGACGACAGAACGAGGATATATATGATATACACTAATTTATTCTAGAAAAGAGAAATAAAAGTGGTCGGACGGTAGAGACGCAGAAATTCTAGTGCAGGCATTGATGGTCGAGGTTGGTGTTGGTAGTTGCCAGGATGATCTCTGTTGGTTGTTGGCAGGATGATCGCTGTTGGTTGTTGAAGTTGATGTTGGTTGATGCCAGGATGATCGCTGTTGGTTGTTGAAGTTGATTGATGCCAGGATGATCGCTGTTGGTTGTTGAAGTTGATGTTGGTTGATGCCAGGATGATCGCTGTTGGTTGTTGAAGTTGATTGATGCCAGGATGATCGCTGTTGGTTGTTGAAGTTGATGTTGGTTGATGTTGTTGATTGATGCCAGGATGATCGCTGTTGGTTGTTGAAGTTGATCGTTGCCGGGATGCCACTTGTTGGTTGTTGGTCGTTGCCGGGGTGGCAACTGTTGGTCGTTGTAGTTTGAGGTTGATTATTGCTGGGGTGCCACTTGTTGGTCGTTGCCGGGGTGCTGACTCGACGTGTTGGGAAGGAAGGAAGAGCTGGCGTTGTTCGGGCATGTCACAGGTCCAGTGCAGGCGTTGCGTGTTTGCCGGTCGAGTCGGATATTAGTAACCTCCCGTAAATAATTACTAACATAGTGTACGGGAAAGTTGAACAGAAGCCAGGAAGTAGTAGGCGAAGGAGAGAGAGAGAGAAAGAAAAGTTCCCAACTATCGTCAAGTTGGCAGAAAAAAAAAAATAAAAAAAATTAGGAGCGTAACTCAATACACAGCCCGTTGATCGACGTCCCTTGGCCGACGAAGGCCAGGGGGTCGCCGATCGCCCGCCCCGAATCTAGCGAGAAGTCAATGTCTTGTGACAAGGGAGACCAGCAAGTAAAATTGGATAAGCTAACAGTAAAGTCTCTATAATAAAATACGTTAAGGTTAGCTAAAGGGAACTATGGCCTAAAAATGTCTAGAAGTATATTACAAGGTTTGTAATATAACTTAACTAAAAAGGGGATTTGCTAGTCTCTAGCACAGGTTAACAGTGTATAGGGAGCACAAACGAGAGGTCAAGGTCGAAATGACCTGTTCACTTAATTTAAGGAGCGAAAGGAGGAGGTAACTCCGACAATACAATAAAATATTAAAATATAAAAAAACAAAACCCCCCAAACATTTGTGGCTTTCGGGACAGGTACAATTATTAATTCAATGTTGATCATGAAGTATAATTTTTCTCATATACACTTCAATTCAAAGTTTTGAGGAGATCCTTGGTAATTTTTTAAATTAGCCCGTAAAGTAGTTGTTTTGTAATTTAAAAAAGAGAAAATTATAATACCCTGTTAAAAAAGGGGGAGATGATTGCAATAATATTGCTGATTCTTCTTTGGATTTTATCAAGAATCTTTAAGTATATAGCAGGAGCACCAAACAATATGTGACAGCAATATTCAAAACATAGACGAATAGTAAACTTATAAATATGAGAGGTTCTGGAAAGAAAGATCGTCTACCACGATACAGTAAACAGACTTTCATGGCAGCTGACCTAGCAATGGATCTGTAGAGGACCGTGGGTTTAAGTATTGTGGAATTAGAAACACGTGCTGTTTATTCTTGCTAGAAGGTCCAACTACAAGAACATGGCGGACTCAAGTTGAGTCCAACCGAAGATGTAAAGAAAACAAACAGGACCGATATATATATATATATGTCAACAAATATATATATTAAACAACAAATTTACAAGTGACAAAGATATCAACGTTTGTGTTTGTGCGTGGACGTAAGGAATTTGTATATTGGTGAAAGTTTGTACGTACGTGTATGTGTGTTTCCTGGCGTTTTCCACAAGTGGGCAAAAACGTGGATCTCTGCGAGAGATCCACGTTTTTAAATGTGTCTGCTGAAATGCAAAGTGAAAAAGAGAACGAGGCAAGGAGTCGCCCAATAGAGAGTAGAGGGAGAGCGACCCCTATTGAACAATTACGAAATTAAGGAGAAGCTAACTCCGACAGATCCAATGTAGTCTTTCCACTTCATATTGGCTGAGAATATTAGCCCGAGAAGGTGCCACGAGTCGCTGTCATGGCGGTTAGCGTCAGCCATGCTGATGGGAGTCAGGGAGAGGTCATTCAGGTGATTAATAGAGAGAAGATGCCAATTTGACCATATCGAACTGATCAGACTTACTATCGAGACAAGAATAAATGGTTGTGACATCAGCGTAGATATCAAGTTGAGAACTGATTGAAAAGACAGGATTTATGTTGTTTTTATGGCCTGTTATAAAATGTAGCTGGGAGCAACGTGTACGGCACATCAACCAGTACTCATGACCCGTAATGATGATAAAACTCTTAAGAATCCAAATCTTGTTTTTCAGATCATAACATAATACGCCCGCAAATCTTAAATTGTTGAATGAGTTACCGCCCTTTCATTTTAACAATGTAAGGGAGGTAAGTCTTTTATTAATGGCCGAAATTTTGTGTTGTTGATATTTTTCAGAATAATGGATTGCGGCTCGAATTAAGGAATCGGAGAACGGAGTTCGAATTCCAGTCGAGTCCATTACATACACTTACGTGTTAATACCCTTGGGAAAGGCACGAATTCCCTATCTCTTCCCTACCCCTAGCTATGGGCTAAATAGCAGGACGGACTCTGGGTTCTGTAGCCTTGGCTGGGAACCCGTCTACCGCAGAAAGAAACGGCAACCTACTGCGGGAAAATCTTCTGCCTAGTCAGTCATGCATCGAAAGAGACAGGATAGTTACATCGTTATTTTGGGTAACTGTGTCTAGTTGGTGGTCATACTATCTCTCAGTGGTTTCGATTTTGTGCTTCTTGCATATCTACCAGTGCACATATCTCGCTATCTTGTTATGTCTGTGGGTAAATTCATTTATTGCTAGTTCCATATTATTATTATTATTATTATTGAAGTTGAGCTCGTTGTTTTAGGTGATATGATGACGGATACACGATTTTCAGAAACAACTCGTTGATAAACAACTGTACTCAAATTTGACTGGGCTTACGGCTATATCATGTTGAAACACCAGTTAAGCAGCGTTAGGCCTGGTCAGTACTTAGATGGGTGACTGCTTGGGAATACCAAGTGCTGTAAGCTGTTATGTGCAATGTATAATAGTTTGGAATTCTTAATTGGAGAGCTGAGTTTCAATTACCGTTAGGTTCGTTATATTCACTTATGCGCAAATATCATTAGGAAAGGTATGAATCCACATTTTTTCCCTCCAGCTATGGGTTAATTAGTAAGACTTGTATCAATAAAACTGTTATTATATCATCACCAAAAAATTGCTTTCAAAATATTTAGATTTCGGTATTAAATAACCCATAGTGGTTGATATGCCGCTAAACAAAATCAAGCAACCAATCAAATTTGACGTAATCTTAAGTAGCGTGACGTCAGTAGTGGAACTGCTTAAGAGTAACAAAAAAAAAAAAAAAAAAAAAAAAAAAAGAATTCCCCGAAATTTCATGAAAATTAAATCAGTATGTGTAGGGGAATAGCAGATGTAAAAAAAAAAAATTTTTACAAAGATTTTCTAAAAAAGAAACATTTCAAATATAACTTCATTAGTTTCTGAATAAGTACTGAAGATTTTTCACCAAATTTTTGAAGGTTCTGAAAAAGATAAAAAAAATATTGCATAAAAATATCCTTTGATCTTTCCTCTTAATAATAACGCAAAAATTTTGACGATAAAATTTTATTATGCTTTGGATATTTTTATATCATGTATCTTCTTTTTTTAGCGAATTTTTTGAGGTACCTCTATTTAATCTGGAGGTATCAATATTTAATCAAGTGATTCTTGGCCAAAAATTAAACCACCCGAATATTGGACAAAATTCCATGTTTTTTGGAAAAAATCGTCCTCTGAGATTTTGGCAATTTTGAGGCATTAAAGGAAGCGGTCATTTTGCCGGTAAATATTTTTATTATAATGAAGGCAGGTAACGTTAAAAATGATAGCATACAGATTTAACACATAACTTTATTCATTTTCACCATCAATTGTGAAGGCAATTTAAAATTTTTTTCATCATCAATTGTTAAAAGAAATATTGAAGTCTCTGAATATTTTAAGCATTTCAGGCATAACGGTCTCTGCATATTTCCAAATTTGCCTTTGGGAATGGTTCTCTTGCTAATACACTTCAGGTGTAGTCACTGAAGACAGCAATCACAGAACGCCGAATCCATCTTGTACAAGTCCTGCCTACACAGCCACTGAGCAGACGATAACTTTTAAAACATTATATTTACTGTCGAAATAGACTTGGTGTCTAGAGAATGCTGGACAATCTCATCAGAGATGAAGAAGCCCCGAAGCAAGAGAAATATGGCTCGACAGAAAGTTACTGAGCATATCATGGACCAAACACGTGAGCAATGAAGAGGTTTTGACGAGAATGGAAACAAAAAGGAAACTTATACTTAACATCAGGAAGAGGCAGTTGAAATTCCTGGGGAATGAAATGAGGAAGGAGGGCTTGGAAAATCTGATACTCACGGGAAGGATTAAGGGAATGAGGAACAGAGGAAAGCAGCGCGTAACATACTTAACATCAGGAAGAGGCAGTTGAAATTTTTGGGGGACATAATAAGGAAAGACAGCTTGGAAAATCTGATACTCATAGAGCAGATGGAAGGAAAGAGTGACAGGAAAGCAGCGCGTAACTTGATGAGCTTGAGAAGTAAAAAAAAAGACAAAACTTATTAAGAGCTACAAGAACAGGAAGATGTAGAGGGTCATAATCGACTACGTCCTGAAGGGACACGGCCCATAAAAGAGGTCTGTTTGAAACTGAAAGTAATGATCGTTTAAATGCACCTAACCTTTTTCTAAAGTGATAGGTGGTTAGTGTAACGGTTATCGGTGAAAGAAGTGGAATCGATGAGACGAGTTCAAATTCCGGTCTAGTCACTTTCGAAATAAAGTCATTGAGAAAGACAATGAATCCATCACTTCCAGTTGTGAGTTAAATAGCACATTGCACTAGTTACTCTAGCCTTGGTTGTCAGCCAGTTTAAAAGAAAGAAAGCTAGAATAGCTTTTCTAACCTGTGTTATTCATTGCTTTAAGGCAAGATATAACTAAAGCTACTAAAAATACAAAAAATTCCGGTCGACTTTGCTTCGTTCACCTTCGCCAACTATGAGCAAAAAGACTGCATTCTTTCGCTGTGGTAAGTCTAGGAGAGAAGGACAACGAGAAATCACTCCACTATATTTTCAAAGAAGTTAATATTAAAAAAAGAATGCTGAGGAGGGTCGTGATCCACTATGTCCTTTAAAAAGAACCTTTTCGCAGGTGCAGTAAAAGCCGAGTTCAACTTTCAGTTGTGTTAGTTTTTGTTCATTTAGCAAAAAAATAAATAAATAAAAAAAGCAGGAATCCATTTTACCTCGGTAAAAGCAGGAATCCATTTTACCTCGTTAAAGCAGGAATCCATTTTACCTCGGTAAAAGCAGGAATCTATTTTACTCCGCAGCTGTTGTCAAATCGCAGATAAGTTGGAGCCATGAAAAGACAATCTCTCTTGGACATTTGATAATGTTAGGTCAAGGATATTTCGTTGTTGCTTTCTACCATGTAACTCAATCTAACCTGTCGTAAGTTACTTGGATAGGAGATAGACGCCGCCAAGTAACTCATATTGGCCTGAGAGATGGCACAAAGTTAAATTACTCGGTATGTCATACCGACAATCTAATGGGTCATGGGAAACGTTCAATAATACTTAAGGAACATCTTGGAAGTCTTTGAATAAATATTCTACGGAATAGTCGTATATTGAATCTGAAATTTTCAATCTCTAAATAATAACTGAAACCTGTTATCTTGAAGGATTAATAACTGATTAATTTTTCTTTAATTTCAGACGAAGAGGAAGGTCGGAGTCAGTCCCAGTTACTCCATATCGATATCAGAGTTCGATCTACGTGAAAATTTGAGGCTTCCGAACGATCATCTTGTCCGTGTCCTGATGAAGAAGCCAGTAATCATTATGAAACATTCAATTCAGATGTACTCCTCCAAATGTTTGTTGAATGATGTCAGAAACGCGAAAGAAAAAATAATCCCGTCAAATTAACCGTTTTCTTAAATCGCTCTTAATTTTGCCTCCTCATCCACCCCCGTTTATGTTTCAAGTTTTCCCGTGAAATTTCTTGTGCCTAAAATTTCTTGCAAGTTTTCCCTGGGTACAAGACGGGAAAATAATAATTTTTATAAGATTTCAAAATATTTAATCTAAACGGATTTGTTTTTATTTTTTGAATAATTCAAAACTTCCTTAAAATTTTCTTGGTTTTATTTTTCATTGTTAAAGTATTGTGACCTTTTTTTTTAGTAATTTGTCACACGTATTTATTTCATCTTTATTTTAGTTGCTTTTCGTTAAAGTTACTCAAAAAACAGGAATAATGAGAACGAAAAAAATCCTAGTGAAAAATGAAGAATACTTGACAATGCTTCATCTAATCAAAATTCCAGATAATATTGCTACTACTATTACTACTAGTGGAAATAAAGCAATTGAAATGAAGATGAAAGAAATCCTCGTCATCAAGTAGTACAACAAAACATTTTCCTGACTATTCGGACTTGTATCGCAAACTTACTTGTTTCGATTATTATGTTATAAGCTCTGCCCTCTTCGACCTATCTTGGTTATACCTCTTTTATTTGTAGCTCTCTTGGTACCTCCCTTTGTATTATATCTCTCATGGTATATTTCATCCGGTTATTTTTAATAGTGCAGCATGGATCTATGTTGCTCAAACCTGTCTGGGAATTCTTCAAATTGTTCTGAAGTCTAATAAAAGAATATTAAAGATGGGAAAAGATACCGGTCGAAACGTAGTGATCAAAATAACAAAGAAGTAAACATTTAGAATAATTTACACAAAATTATTGAAAATAGGAAAAGAAGAGGTTTTATTTCTTCAAAAATATAAAAAGTAAAAGACAAATATACAAATCATACCATAAAATAATTTACCAATTTTTTTTTGTTAATTAACGAATAAAAAAAAATATATTTTAAAAATTTTGAGAATAAAACAACCTTTTTTTTATTGTTACATTTGTTTATTGAAGTCTGCATAGTGAGAGATGTTCAATAATTACCAATATATTTTTGGATATTGACTACTTATAACGAAACTAAATACTAATAGTTCGAGTGCTTCACAAAGATTACTTTTATGGCTACTGTGCATCGATTTTGTAGAGGTAACCTTGACATTATTGTGCGGAGATATTACTCAAAGTGAATGAAACATACGACAACATAAATATATGAAAAGTGCGTATATTTTATACGAAGACTTTTGTATTTTGTATTCATATCGTTTTGAGTACCCAGTCTTTTGCAAGTAGATACACGCAAACCTTGTGTTGTGAATATGGATTATCTCCTCTTAGCTCTAAAAGGTGTATACTTCCGCTGTCAAGTCAGATGAGTAGTAGTATTCTTAATTGAATAAACGATTACTAGATAGAATCTCTTGTCCTGTTTTCATTACATTTTATTCAATTAAGAATGGAACAATTTATGCGACCTGAGCGACTTACCACAGATCCAGAAAGCGATTTAGCCGACAAGTGCTGGAAACATTGGCGGGAGACATTTACAAATTTCATCGAGGTTCTACATTCAGAAAGACCGGGACGTCCCATCAATAAGCGTGCGCTCCTAACCAACTACCTGTCTAACACAGTCAACGAAATTATCTCGGATTGCGTTACCTACGAAGAAGCAATCGATGTACTGAACGCTACACACATAAAGCCCCAAAATGAGATATTTTCTAGACACCTACTTGCGACTCGCCGACAAGAATCAGGCGAGACATTGGACCATTTCCTTAAGAGCCTTCGGACACTGAGCAAAGATTGCAACTTCTGCCCAATGACGGCATTAGAGGCCCAAGAGCTACACATTTTGGACGCCTTCATTAACGGTTATCGACGAATATTCACGGTTTCCTTTTGCCTTCCCTTGTTCAGACATATCGGCTGCTGCAATTATACAATGCCTCTGCTCACTATTCGCCATCTTTGGAGCCCCTGCCTATATACATTCGTACCGAGGGGCTTCTTTCATGTCAGAGTAGCTTCGGCAATTTCTACAGGAACGAGGAGTAGCTATAAGCAGGACAACTCCCTACAACCCTAAGGGTAACGGCCAATGCGAAAGATATAACGGCATTATTTGGAAGACCGTTCAATTGGCTGCCTCAAATAACGGATGTTCAATTGATAATTGGGAAAATCTCCTTCCTGTCGCATTATACGCCATTCGTTTCCCTATTGTGTACCCCACACGAAAGGTTTCTACCTTTTCAGCGACGGAGTTCGGCGGGAGCTTCGCTTCCATCTTGGCTCTCTCGACCCGGTACTGTGTTTCTGAGACGACATGCACGTTACACCAAGAACGATCCCTTGGTGGACGAGGTAGAGCTTATAGAGGCGAACCCTCAGTACGCGCTAGTACGACATGCAGATGGTAGAGAGTCTAATGTGTCTCTCAGGGACCTAGCACCGGCCGGAGACGTACCCGGATCGTGGATAGACCCTGAGGACAGACCAACTACCCCTGACACTGAAGCCCCTCCGGAAGATCATGGCACTGAAATTGTTCCTGACACGCCGTCTGATGACACTGTCTCCGTTGAGGCCCCGTCAGACACTTCGGATGGGCCAACACCTGAAACCCTGACGGATGAAGGGCTAGCACCGAATAAACGTATTCATCCAGAGACTGACTCTGTCGCGGAACGGCCTGCTCCTCTGAGAAGGAAACATTTCGGAGCAAGGTATTTTAGAGCCCACAGACAGGCTCGCACTGAAGAGCCTCCCTGTTCGAGTACTCCGACCACGAATCATGGACTGCCGAGGCGGCCACTGAGAACTCGTAGGGAGCCTGGACATTTAAGGGACTTTCTTCCCTATCAGTGAGAAATTTGGTGGTGGTGGTGGTGGGGGGGGAATGTTGTGAATATGGATTATCTCCTCTTGGCTCTAAAAGCTGTATACTTCCGCTGTCAAGTCAGATGAGTAGTAGTATTCTTAATTGAATAAACGATTACTAGACAGAATCTCTTGTCCTGTTTTCATTACACCTTGTATTAAGAATTTCGAAGATAAAGAATATATATGCACACTTGCATACATATTTCAAATTCTTAAATACAAGGTTTGCATGTATCTACTTGCAAAAGCCTGGGTACCCAAAACAATATGACTATTTTACTTTATCTGTTTCGTTGTCAAGGATGTGAAATAGGTACGTCTTTATACGGTAATGTCACGGAACAAAAGGACAAAGATTGACTTTCCGGCCTGACGATGTCGTGTGCGAGTTTCGTCACAGTCACGTGACGGTTTATTATTATTATTATTCTAGTGAATGTTTATAATTAATTTTTGTTGTTATTTTTGTTTTGGATCAAGGCGAGATAACTTTTTATCTTTCGCTACAAGATATTTGCGAAGGATATTAGAAAAACATTTAGAATCCATACAGGCAGCAAACCTCCTGCAAACGAATAGAAAATGAATTTAGTAAATATATAAAAATAGAAAGGAGTGCAAGACAAGGATGTGTCGTCTCACCGGACTTTTTCAAACTATACAGTGAGGCGATTCTGAGAGAACTAGAAATCCTACCAGGATTTATTATTGACGGCCACAATCTTAACAGCATAAAATATGAAGATGTCACAGTGTTGATAGCAGCCACAGAAAGGAAACTACATGAACTCCTACAAAAGGTGTTGAAGGAATGTGGGAAGAAAAGATTTAAAGATCAGTTGAAAGAAGACATACTGCATGGTTGTCAGTAAAAGGGATACCCCAACATGTAAATTACAATTTGGAAATACCCAAATCAAGTACAACAATTTAAATATCTGGGAAGTGTTTTAACAGACGACGGAAAGTTCAACACTGAATTCCAAATGTGTATTGGGACAGCAACAGATGCCTTCCAAAAGCTATGCAAAGTATTAAGAAACAGGAAAATTTCCTTAAGAAAAAAAGAAAAATACTGAACTGTTATGTAATATCAGTCCTCCTATAGCGGTGAATATTGGACAATCTCCTCACAGATGAAGAAGAGACTTGAAACAACAGAAATATTGTTCTACAGAAGGATGTTGAGAATACCATGGACTGAGCATGTGAGAAACGCTGAAGTTTTCGAGAAAATGGAAACAAAAAGGAAAATTATACTTAACATTAGAAAAGCACAGTTAAAAATTTCTCGGGCCCATAATGAGAAAAGGAGGTTTGGAAATTTGACACCCACAGGACATATTGAAGGCAAGAGGGACAGAGGGAAACAGCGCATTACCAACTGAAAGAACTTGTGTAGATGGTTGGCAGAACAGGGATTTAATAACAGGTACGAAGTAAAGGAAATTGTGGAGAGCCATGATCGACCACAACCTGAAGGGATACAGTACATAGAAGAAGAAGAAGAAGAAGAAGAAGAAGAAGAAGAAGAAGAATGGATAATTTATTTTCAGTTGATTACAAATCTTACAACAATACTATATAAAAAAAGAACTAGACGCGATATCACTGGACAAGGGCAGTGGAACGAGAAAAGTCTACCCCCGTAAATTCAATAAAGGGTTCACTTTAGAATTCTTTGTAGATTGATATATAGCCGGGGAAGGCTGGAACACAACGACCGAAACATTGTGATAACAACAACAAAGATGGGGACAATAGTCCGAATACAAATAATGTAAATAATGGTAACTCCTCATGACGGAAATTAAGATAGAAGTGTATATGTTAACTGTGAAATCCGGCGAAAGTCACCAATGAAATAAAAATAATTGTTTGTACAGAAAGTAATGACCTACGTACATCAAATTGTCTTTAAATTAAGTGGTGGTAGAAGAATTATTATTGAACTTTTAAAAGGTAAGCTTAAATA